AGAGAGGGGTCCAAAGAGGTATTATAGTATAGTTCCTGTATCGCACATTCCCTTTCTCATAAATCAAGCGCCATAAGGAGTGCCTTATTGAAGCGTCACCGGTTTTCTTTTTTTCATCTTTTTCCATGCATTCTTGACGGGTCTTCAATTGCAGTTTTGTAGCTGAAGATCAGTGCGTACGACCTGCAACTGCGAAATCTGTCTTCAAACCCATTTCTGTATTACGGGCTGAGCATTTCTATGTTACGGACTCAGTACACTCCTTATCCCTGAGACAGAGTAGGCGTGGCATTCGAACATGGCACAAAATTGGTCACTCGTGAAATATTCCAGTCTGGGACAACTGTCATCTTGTTCTGTGTTGGACAGAGACACGACAACAGTTGTGTCAAGATGAAAATATTCCACCAGAAGCATAGACACCTTCAGGTTAAGTTGAAGAATGCGGCCACGCCTACCCGATCTCAGAGATTTCGAGTATATATCCAATCCATTAACCTTCCACCAACATCCCCAATGACCTCTTTATCCCTAGCTTACTTCAGAGCAACATTAGGAGATTTTCTGAGTTCTACTGATGTTTGGTGTCATTCAGTCCCCATCGAGAACCATATGAGGTCGACCGAAACTATAAAATGAGCGGTGGGTGACTGTAACTTCTTTATAGACCATATAACAATGGTAAAATCTGGTCGCTTTTCGGGGACAATTCGGCGGGGGAGGGGCATTTGGAGGACGAGTCGCGCAGGACTGGGACTTCCGTAACGTGAATTCCCTTTTTCTACAAATAAGTTGGTTCGCTCGTCGTGGACCCCCCCCTATCTTAAACTCGTCTCAATCGAGCACGTCATTTTTTGCACAGACAAAAGATTGAAAGGTATCAAGCCTTCGCCGTTGATCAGTCCCTTTGGAGGATCGCATTCTGCTTCCATTCAGAATCGCAGTGGCATACTGGATGTGATCTTATACGGTAACGTGCGGGGGGGGGCAGCCAATGTACAAGTCAGTGCCCTATCCTCCTAGACGAATCTGGTACCAAATTACCGTCCCCGGGAGGTGAAGGCTTGGTTGGCCTGGGCGGAGTCGACCCAGGATTCGGACCCAGGACCGGGTGGGTGGTACGTGCGCCACTTGCCAGTACACCACCTCCTTTTCCTTGCACAGATGTTCTTGAAATTTGGCCGTGTGGTGGACTTTGCATGAAACCCGTCTAGGAAGCATCTCGATAGATCTCGTTTTCATTGGAGTTTTCACTAAACCCACCGTACTCAGCGAATCACTTCCGTTTGTCATTTCAATAATGTTCTTAAGCATTGATGAGATGTGTGCACGTGTGGCGCCGTTTCCGATTACGGTTGTTACTACTGTACTGCAGCAGTAACATCATTGTTTGTTATTGGGTTATAAAATGTATGCAAATTGGACGACAATTTTCAGCGCATATCTGCTAATGGTATTGCGACGTGCCGGACTGGCTTTCTGTCGTCATTTTGCTTATAATGACAGTCGACGCTGTCTTCAGTTATAGCAGGTGAGCATGCACCCGGTTGGGTTCATTATATTTCAAAATAAACAAATAAAGTCGTCATCGTTGATCAGTCCTTTTTTGGGATGCGGCACGGATAACACATCCATTCTGTTTCTTAGTGGCTTACTGAAAGCGATATGGCCTACAGTGACTTGTGGAAAGCCCTACTACGCACAGTCAGTGTCCCTACCCTCTCAGGAGAACCTGGTACCAATTTACCGTAGGAGGGTGAAAGGCTTGCTTGGCCTGCTCGGGAGCTGATCCGGGATTTGACTCCAGACCGCGCGCGTGATATGCGTGCCACTTGCCACTACGACACCTCCGCCTCTGTATAAAATAATATAGGGCAGAATAATATAGAACAAGACGACCGAAGCTGGAGCTTATAGGGTAGAGCTTTCGGCGTGGTCCAATCACTGTAAGGAATGCGTCATGCATTCTCCTCCGCTCCAGAATCGTAGTGGCATTTTCAGTGTTATTCTTCCTCTATAATGAGTTGCGAAGCAGCTATATGGGCTAGTTTGTAGGTTCGTTCTCCCAAATGAGTTCGGTACCAAATAACATTCCTGAGGGATAGAAAGCTTGGTTAGCCTGGGAAGAAGCTGGCCGAGATTTGACCCTGCAACGTGCACCGGTATTTTTTATGCTTGGAAATCCCTTAACTTCAAATGGCGCGACATTCTCCTCTCGGTTACACCTTTTCAAGATTATGGTAGTCTTTCAGGTTCATGGTGAGAAAGGGTGGACGATTGGAACGGCTCCATAAACGAACGTTGTTTGAGTGGCGGCATGCACATCGTCATCCGCGACATCGTCACCATAGGTAGTTTTCTTGCTGTTTTTATTGTTCCAGAAGTTTATTTGACACTTGTTTACCTTTTACGACCGTACCTTTACGACTGCCCGAAGTTTACGTCAACATCTTGACTTCGTAGGGAAATGGTAGTTTGACTGCTAAACGAGACTATATGACTTCCGTTTGACGAACAGATGGCTGTACGATGGCTCAAAACACTTCAAATGACCACATTTCCAGATTTTGTCAGCGGAGGTTGCCCCGCTCTGCTCGACTACGTTGAGCAGAGCCATATAGCCCCCCCCTCCCTTCGAACCCTTCTCCTAACAAAGATTGAGGCATAGACTGTAGACGCCCGGGTCAGTATAAGCGGTTAACGCCAGACAGATACAGCGACAACAATAAGCTGCTTAACGCATTGAAAAGCTACAAACAAAAAGCGCTAGGTATGCTAGAGGAGGTTAGCACTAACTCTAGAGCGAGTGAGCCACGGGTGAAAACCTGGAATCTTTGAATCCCTCACAACGGTCTTGGAACGCCATGCAGACGGGTGAAGGCAAGGAAAACCAGTACCCACGGCGACTTTCGTTGTCTGCTCTCTAAGCCTCGGCCTTAGCTAGGGAATGGGAGACAGAAGCGCTGTCGCATGGCCCCACAAAGCTGCGATAGCACCATGCTTTGCCTCCGTGTAAGAGGACATCACATTTATTAACGAGAATGATTAGCAACCACAATGCTAGTGCCATTTTCTCTGCTTGCATACTCCAGTGTGTTCCGTTCCAAGCGAATAATGACCGTGTCTGCGTCCTCTCACCGAGACATCACATCCTTCAGATTTGAAGTGATTCTCGGCCTGTGTGAGAATTTAACTGTGAATAAGAAAGTAATATACATCATAGGACTTTCATAGTGGAGGGGCAGAGATAGGTCAAAACATGTCATGACATGGTTCAGTCGCGCCACAGCGTGCCTCCCCTCGCGAACTTTTCTATGTGTATTGTGTATCCAAAGATTCAACTATCTGCAAAGAAAGTTCCAGTGAATTTGATGAAGGGAGGTGTTTCTGTGTCAGGTGTAATGTGTCACTGTCATTTCATGTGAAGAGGGTCAAACCACTCCAGGGGGTGCGTTTCCGTAAAAACTTCGCTGTCGGTATGACCTGCATCAAAAGTGGGATAGTAAAAGGTGGATAGTGCAGTAAATTTCGTCATTTGTCGCAGTTTACACAGTCTCACGATCAATCTCTGTAATGTTGCAGGCAGAAACGCCGACGTCACGAAAGGGATGGTGACATGAAAATTGAGCATATACTTGCCCAGATGGATTCCTATGTTCGACCACGATTTGGACGTTCGGCTGGATTTCCGCAATTACTTACATCAACCTTGATAACACCATCTGTTCCGTAGAACCACGCCAAAGTATTTTTGTAATGCCGCAATAACATCACGGAATGCTTTAACAATGCCACATGCCTTAAGGATTAAAGTAACGCTAGTGCTAATGTGTTCCAGACGGGAGCTATTTTACAAGCTGTATCTATCAGTTTTTCAATGGGGTCTAGTAGTTAGAGGTACGTTCCACGCTCGTTGCGGGGTGGAGCCCGACCTACCACTGTGCTGTTCTCATGCACCCTTCGCTTTTCATCGTTAGAAATGGAAGAGGCGCCAGTGAGGAATGTGTTGTGGTAGACACGACCCCGCCCATGCGGCGAGCGTGGAATGTGGCTTTGAAAGCGAGAATACGATATGCTTTCGTGGCTTTCACATGCTTTACCAATTACTTTATTTCCGAAGCTTTCTGATCCTCCCTTCTCTCCATTCATCCATCTCACAACTTTCGTTCTTCATTTTCTACTCCAAAGAATGTCACTCTGTTGGAATGATCTTCTTCTGAATCCCCTGTAATAATGATACTTTTTCTTCTCCTGTGTCATAACCCGCCTAACTTTCTTATGTGAATATCTGTATACAGTCGCTGTTAACGATTTCACCCAAGTTATTTTTGGAATTTTGGAAATGCTACGTGTTGTATATATTTGGGCTTAATGTTAACAAATAAATCTCAACCTTGAGCGAGTCATATCACAGCAACTCGCACAGCTCTATCCTACTAGCTTGAACTACCAGCCTTATGAAGGAATCTCTTCGAATTTTGCAAACCCAACTAGGTGGCGTCGTACGTGCTGTATGACGGAGACTACAGGGGCGTGGTAGCGTGCTTCACTTGGGCGCGGTCACAACCGAGTTTCCAAGATATATTGATTTTCAGACATATGCTTTTTCAGTCTCAAAACACGACTTTACAGTGAAACGGAAATATCGCCAAGAAAATCGCTTGTAGCGCCACTTTCAAGAAGGTACTTCGCTGGAAAAGGTGAAGAGGCAGTGTCAGTACGACCGCTCACCTCAGCTACTGCTCTGCCTTGGGTACAAATGAAGTCGCAGCCAAGCTCTGCGAATTTCCGTTACATGGAGTGTATGTACGTGGTCAACGCCTGGAGGGGTATGTGGAGAGGATCGTAATTTTGCCGCGTGGACTGGGGTTCGCGTGGCGACGTCCGAGCGCAAGTACGATGGTTTCAGGCAGTAGATGGCGACAACATGCAATTAAGGACCGAAAACAGTAATGAGTGTCTACGATGACGGGGTCTACATGAAGTCCGGTGCTTCATTCGACAGGTTAAAACGAGTTATGAAAACGCCGCGCCCATCGCCGCGCGTGGCGGTGCGGCGAATTACGATCCTCTTACCGTCTGTCCCCGTTGGAGTATCTACTTTTTGATGCACTGGCTACCAGACGATATTTGCTTTTCTGCCATACAGACGGGGGTTTTTTCAATCATCAGCAAATAGGCACCTAATGATGGGACACTCCAATGCTATTACCAACAAGGGCAGATTTTTTGTATCTTGACGTGCGGACGTTATGTCTCACGAGGGAAAAAACGCTTTCTGACCTTGAGATGCAACATAGTCAACGTTTTCGAGGAGCTATTGCAAAACGTCAACGGCAAGCCTTTCGTTTTCACGAACATAACTTTCAAGAACGAAAAAACGAAAAGGACAGCAAGAACGTTTGGTTTTTTTTCGGAATTAGCTTGACTAGTGAAACCAATGACGTAAAGGTACAGTTCCATAGCTAGGGCGAGATGGAACACACGACCGAGTGGGGCCTTCGCATTCAGAAGAGGTCTGGAACCGCAGCTATACGTTAATAAATCCCACGGGGAGGCCCAGTTTTTTTTTTGAGAAAATGTTTTCTGGTTGTTGGTTTTCTTTCGTTACCCCTCCGCTGCCTCTCCCACCCCCCCCCTCACCCCCTCGACTGCAAAAATTTGGAAAGCGTAGAAAATCTTCAGAAAATGTCCGCTAAATGAGCTGGGAAGAGGGGAAAAGCTGAGAAGTTAAGTAGGGTGGGGAAGGGAGGGAGTCGAGTCGGCCAGAGTTAGCGAATTAGGGGGATCGCATTTCCGAAACTGTCCCCAGGCACGGACGTGCTCTGGCGGGGTGAGCTTGAAGCTAAGGCATCCTTCTGGCTGGCCCTAGATATTGGACTGTATATATATTCAACATCTGGTTAGCTCCGCAGATGTCTCCTCTTACAAGGTGAGACATCAGCTGTGGATAACGGAGCCTGTGGTTGGGAGGAGAAATGTTAAAGACGAACTGCACAATCACCTCGGCGGATCCTGGTCCTAGAACTGCGTGAAGCAAAGGGTCTGCAGCTGCAGTAGCATGCCACCTTTTCCGCTTAGAAATGCCGGCTAGAAAGTGGATACCCTGTATCCCTCCTCTCGCTGCGGCGGGACTAGCTAGTCGCCTAGCTATGGCCAAGCGTGCCATTTGTCTGCGCCCTCTCGCTTCTGCTGTTCTCTACAGCTGAATATGTTTCGTTGCGGAACTTTGGCATCAGCGCAAGTGCTGCACCTTCAGGGTGACGTGGGAAGAGTATGGAATCGGCACTACGGTAGCCATTAACGCCTACAGTGTTCCCGTGTAAGAGCGGAAAGTGCAGCAGCTGCGGACTGCCATTTCGTCTCACAGAACTTGGCTGTTCTTGGAGTGAGTGTGCACTTCGACTTTTGAGGCTAGCATGGGGGCAAACTGTACTGTCGCAGCTGACTTGCATGAGTTCCTATTCGAACTTTCTTATAGACTGTGATCTGTCATGGCAGAAAGGAATTCGCGGCAGATGCTTCCCGCTGAGCGACTGGTCACTCCAGATTTAGCACCTGCTGTGCTCTATGTTGAAATAGGCGATGACGGCTGGAGTTCACTGTTTGCTGTGGCCCCCCCCCCCCCCCCCCCCCCCCCCCCCCCCCCCCCCCCCCCCCCCCCCCCCCCCCCCCCCCCCCCCCCCCCCCCCCCCCCCCCCCCCCCCCCCCCCCCCCCCCCCCCCCCCCCCCCCCCCCCCCCCCCCCAGTAACCCTGAACTTTTAGGATGTCACGATCACAGCAAAAGAATCGCCGTGCTCTGCAAGTGAGTGACTTCGTCTGACGCAAACAACGGCTGAAGGCCAAACCCAACAGTCTTTTTTTTGAAGACGGAGTTGGAAGTTCAGAGTGCCCATATCAATTCTTGAGGAAACTGAGAGAGCTGCCGCTCAGTGCGAGTCAGATCTCATCCAATGAAAAAACAAGTTTTTCGTACATCACCGTTACGCTGTCGAAAGCTGAGAATGGCCAAGAGCCTGATAAGTGGGTGTACGTTCTCTGACCAGTGATGCGATGGCCCAGTCATCAAGCATGCGCTTACCATTGTCAAAAATGGATATATTCACTCAGGCTCCTATAATTAGTAACTACGGTTTCGCAGTTTTCTCGAATATGTGCAGTCTGAGCTGTCTAGACCTAACGCGTCTTCGGAACTGTTCGGCCCGGCCTTGAAGAGTCAGTGCCAGCTGAAGTCACCGTGAAGTTAGGCATTTACAGATGGCGCAGGTGCTGACGCTCTGGCAAGACCTCATATTCTTTACGCGAAAAAAGAAGTCGAAAAACAGTGCGTATAACTTCTGGAATACGTCTCACATTCTATTTCAAACCAGATTCGTAATAGTACGCAATAGTCTAGTGAAAGCTGCACCACAGCGATTAATAAAAGAAACAACTAAAGGAATAAGAGTAGAATATTATTAAAAGTATTTATAATTGTTATTGCATATTACTGGCTATCTGTACGCCTCAATATTCTAGTAAAGCTATTATTAGGTTTTTAATGACGCAGTATAAAGACCGAAATTGTTTGTTCGGAAAAGGGTACGTGCAACGTGAACCAAACTACAATACCGCCCCTAATTTTTGCAAGATTGACGGTTTGCGAGGATTAATCCGTCGCAAACCGTCGATTTTGCAAAAATTAGGGGTGGTGTTGTAGTACTTCCTTATACTGATCCCCTGTATAAGAACGAAAAATTTAATTACAACTATAGTTGATATTGAGGGAGCAAAAAGTCGTGGTAATGGAGTACAAAATATCAACTTATTCCCAAGAGCTGAGCTAACGGATAATAACAATACAATACCAATAAAATAATAATAATGATAATAATAATAATAATTTCGATAATAACGAATGTAAGGATAATCTAACCTCTATATATCCCGTAAGTATGTCTGTAAGTGTGTGTGTGTGTGTGTGTATGTTTGTGTGTGCGTCTGTCTGTGTGTCACGAAATTCATAGCGCCGTCCCAGTAACAGTGAGACATTGATTTCAAGAAGTGATGTAGGCGGTGTGACGGGAACACTATTGGTGGGTGACAGGAAGTGATATCAGTCGATAAGATACGATAAGGGGCCTCAGAAGGGGAAGGTGATCGAAATCGTAGCGCAATTTGCAGCAGCTGCAGGGACCGTGATTTTAAGAAGTGATATACACGGCAGGATGGGAACACTTTTGTGGGTGACAGGAGGTAATTGATTATGATAGATTCGATAATGGGCCTTAGAAGGGGAGGGTGACCGAAATCGTGGCGCAATCTGCAGCAGCTGCGGGACCGTGATTTTAAGAAGTGATATACACGACAGGATGGAACATTTTGTGGGTGAGAGAGGCAATATCACTTGATAAGATTTCCGATAAGGGCTAGATGGAGTGGTAATAGAATTCGTACCGCGAATTGCGCGCGCGGGAAGTCTTTTAAGGAGTGTATAACGGCGGATGGGAACACTTTTGGTGGGTGACAGGAGGCATATCACTTGATAAGATTCGATAAGGAGCCTTAGAATGGGAGGGTGATCGAATTCGTACCGCGAAATTGGGCAGCAGCTGCGGGACCGTCATTTTAAGAAGTGATATACACGGCAGGATGGGAACACTTTTGGTGGGTGACAGGAGGTAATATCACTTGATAAGATTCGATAATGGGCTTCAGATCACCAAATTCGTAACAGAGGTTACAGCAACAGT